CCATTACCTGTTACGATACTCCCCCAAATTGCCCTTACATTAATATCAAATCTCCTTGAATGAGGAAGCTTCGGACTTGTTTCAAAAGTAAATGTTTGACGGCATCCTTGACACTCTGCTAACAAAACACTTGCCAACCCAAGTGTACGCTGCTCAGACACTAATATTATAGGGGCTTCACCTTTCGCTGACAACAACAACGCATGTTCACACTGACAGGCATGTAGAGTTATAGACGTCACATGTTGTTGAATACAATAAAGATTGACAAACCTGTATCCATTTCCACATAAGTTATTCACTCTACTTATTTTAAGTTTTATTGAGTTGTTTTCAGATGCATCGACACACTATATATTTTCTTTACAGAATTTTGCTCTGTTTGCTGAGCGCAGAGTTCTAATTTGGAATATCCTCTTTCTGTAAAACTTCAATGATAAAGTTGAACTTAGGCCTGGTAGTTTTGCAGGTATTCTTGTCAAAAACAAGCTTATATTTAGGTCTCCCTGGTCGAACAGTTTTACGTTTCAGTAAATTGATACCTGTTGACATCCCAAACCTTTTCTTAGTCTTTTTCCTTGATGTACCCATATTTTGAGCAAAGATATATCAAATTCTATGTCCAGAATCGTCCCTGTATATGAAATTCTATCTCGAGAACTGCCACATCATGCCACATGGTTAGGTCGGGGTTCCATAGAAATAGGATAATGATTAGTTTTCCCTAATGTTCTTCAATAAACTTATGTTATTTAAAAACATTAATTAAAACCCATTTTAACATAAATGATATAAAGCAAACAAAATAAATAATATGAAAAATGCTTATCGGAGGTGTTTCGGGTCCGAGAAATCACCGAAACGGACCAATCGGACCGAATCGGACCGAATCGGACCGAAACGCGACAGGGTCTGGTTCTGTTCACACACGGTCACACACATTATTCAAAACTGTTTTCTGCATTCAAATGTATTATTCGCTTGGAATAATCGTATACCTTTCGTTTCGTCCCGATTCGGTTCCGTTTCGGTCAGTTTCAGTCCAATTCGGGCAGTTTCGGTCCGTTTCGGTCCGTTTCGGTGATTGGTTGCACCGAATGTTTTTGACAGCTCACGTCAAACGTTTTGCTTGACAGTCTAAATACATCCTTTATTTCTTAGCATCAACTTGCGATTTTCAATCAATTAAGCACAACACTTTACATACACCAAATAATATTATACTACACCTTTACTTAACATATATTTCGTTTCTGTCACGACTCAGCCACTGAAAAGGATTTTTGAATAGGGACGCACCACCCGCCGGAACTGCTCTCACACTAAAGAGTTCCGTTTCTAAAAAGGAACAAATAAAGTATTTACGGATCGAAATTAAGAAAACACTATTTAGTAGTATACATTTTATCTTAAATGAAATTACTGCATATACTTGATACTTGCATATCAAATTCCAAAAAAAATTAAATTGGTGCGGAATAATTGTGTGACTTCCGTTTAGAGTCTGAGGGCGACAGGGAAGGAACATCGAAATATAATTGATGATTGTAAGTAGTTATGATCGTGACGTATATTTAGTACCCCATGCATGTCTTACTATTGGCACATTTTACCAAAAAGTGACATATTTGGTGGGATATCGGTGTTTGATTTTCACAGAAACGCTTTTTCTATTCGCGAACTTCTGTAATAGTGAAACCAACATGGCGTCCTCCATGTCAATGGTAAGACTATGGGAAATATAGCAAATACAGTACTTAAATAAATGAAAGTAGAAAAACTAATATCCGGAGCACCTAGAATTGGTATCAAGGTAATGATTTATGTTAAAGTTATTGTATTTTGAACTCAAATTAACACATTGCATTTCTCATAAGAAATAACAATGTGTTGATACTATTATTCAGCTAAAATGGGATTGTGGTAGTAAATTAACTCTTCATTGGTAGACTCAAATTACTGAACTGGGACATTGTTTCAATATCTTTTTAAAAATACTGACTGATTTGTCAAAGAGGGACATGTTATATTAAAAACGTGGTTTCTCTGTAGCTCATTATAGGCAACAATTTTGACTTGAGCAGAACCTTAACACCCACTAACCCGTGCGTTCCTTCTAATTAACTGATACCAGCTACCCTGTATAAAGACACTATTTAGTATAAACGATACTAAATAATAGTGATATAGTGTTGTAAAATGTCATATAACCCTGGAACGTATTGTATAAAACCCTCTATAAACAATACTATGTGCGCACGTGTATACACCCAAAACACATAGGTATCTATAAATAGGTCATTATATAAAATGTCGCTGTTTATCTACACGGCATGTTCAAAACAATCACACAGATGGTAGTTGAAAGTGTTGATGGGTACGGTACTCACCGCAAGCTGTAGTTCAAGTGTCCCATTTCTAAGCAGTGTTTACGTTTGCGTGTTGACATGGCGTCGCTTTCCAACCGCTCACCCCCACATCCGGAGCACGTACCCGTAGTCTGAACGCGCCAAATACAAATCACGTTATGCGCACTACAGTGCTATGTCACACCGAGGCCAAGTGAAAATTCATCGCGCTTTTTTGTTTCTCACTCAATGCGTGTGTAATCAGTAAGGAGTTATCGCTTCACTATTGATGCTATTGTAAACATTTTTTTCCAAATTAAATGATGCATGGATTGCAGTTTCCTAACAGAGAAAAGATGATTTTAAAAAGTAAAGAAACAGTTTTGTTATTGTTGTAAAATAAAATATATTCGAAAAGATCAAACACCCCGGATGAAAAACATCAGACAATAGTAGTATAGAGCGATTATTAATACGGCGCCAAACGAACGTCAGGATTATCAAACGTCAACGTATTAACTGTGTGACAGTCTATCACTCATAGGACTACGTGGCTCTCCCATAAGTAGGCGGGTCCAATTCATCTATGACGTTACGATCCTACGATCCACGTATTTTGGCGCCGTATACACAATCGATATATACTGCTGACAATACCCCGATTGAGATATAGAGCTGGGGTGAGAAATCGNGGTATAAATCGTGTCGCCTATGCCCATATATATTGCACAATATCTCACCCGGTGAGAAATCGTGCAGGGTCGAGAAATCGTGTTGCGAACGCAGCAATTTTGCACGATTTCTCACCCGGGTAAGAAATCGTGTCGCAGTGAGAAATCGTGCCGTAACAGTTGTCCCAATCACCTGCCTCTGGACTGGTTTTAAGTTTTACAAAGTAAGTTGTTTTAGTGCCAAGGTTTGTACAGCATGGTTATTTAGCCTCTTTATCTTAATCCTTCCAACGTAGGTATCTTATCCTTCCAACGTAGGTATCTTATGATGAAATTTGTTGTTTGCCTTTATACTGTTACAGTGTTTTACCATTTATATATGTTTGTCGAAATACAAGCTCCTGAGAGCTTAAGTTAACTATGACATATATTCAACGTAAAATAATGATTCTTGTATCTTGTATTTTGATGGAACATGCCACTATGCTTTTATCTGATAGTTTTAAGATAAAAAGAACCCACACACAAGATTTTAATCACGAACTTTTCAACTTTTCTCGACAATGCGCCTTTGTATAATCTACAGCACGATGAAGGACACAAGTTAAGGTATACTGGTGATGCCGTCATGTACAAATGTATGTAAACTGTAAAACGAAAGTAGGTCTGCGCGATCGCAAACATTTAATGCTGATATTTTCGCATACATTTCAGTTAGTACTTGATGTGATAGCAATGGATTACATGAGTGTTACCTTGTGTTGTATTCTAGCACATCGGTGTCTCAATACATACGGTATTTATCTGTTAATGTTCGATAAACGTCTGTGTTTTATTACTGTCCTGATTGTGTTGTGAGTTATTTCCGGTTCACGTCGTATCAAGTGCGCTTCCAGTTACGTCAAAAAATGCAAATTTTTCAATACATGATGTAACAAAATCTTGATATTTATTAATTAAAGATTGTTTAAAGAATAAACGAGCATAACAAAAACAATATCAATACATTGTAAATATTATTTTCTTGAATGTTTGCGAAGCAGACGACGTTTTGATCATAATCTCGAAACTAGAACATTTTTTCCCAAAAAATGTTTTAACATTTGAAAGAAATAAGTGGGAAAAAATGTTTTAACATTTGAAAGAAATAAGTTTGAAGGGAAAGAAATCAATTTGTTCTTTTATGAATTAATGAAAGTGATACAGAAAAGAAATAAAGTAAACAATTGATATTAAATTTATCAAAAACATCATCCTTAGAGAGTATATTCTGAGCATGATCGTTTAGAAGCTTTGCAATACTTCAAACTCTTTCAAACGCGCATCAGCTCGAGATTAGGTCCTATTTACCAAATGGCGACTGAAAGTAGCAAGGCGGATTAGATTGAAACTTCAATTGTGTATATTTCGGCAAGTAAACATTGTTCAGAAAGCCCGTGTGGTCTGATCATCTAATTTAGTCAACGTGTACTCATATCAGTCGTTGTTTAGTCGCTACGGTCAATCACATAAAAATTAGGATTATTATATAAACTTATTGTAATTATTAATACACAATCCGTTTTTAAAATATAAAAAAAACCAAAAACATCATCATTAAATGCACAGCAAGCATGATAGTTTATATAATTGTAGGTCTCATAAGTAATAACGACAGTATGATCCACAATGGACACTGGATCCGGACCAACAAGCTGTCTTAGGGTTCGTAATCAATAAATAGGTATATAGGATCTAGTATATATACCTCAGTATATATAAAAAATAGGTATATAGGATCTAGTATATATAACTCAGTATATATATAAATAGGCATATAGGATCTAGTATATATACCTCAGTATATATATATAAATAGGTATATAGGATCTAGCATATATACCTCAGTATATATATAAATAGGGATATAGGATCTAGTATATATACCTCAGTATATATAAAAATAGGTATATAGGATCTAGTATATATACCTCAGTATATATATAAATAGGTATATAGGATCTAGTATATATAACTCAGTATATATATAAATAGGTATATAGGATCTAGTAACAACAGTTGTGCAGTCAAAGGCATTTGTCAAATTTTCAGACGAACAACTACAGTTATAGATTTCCCCACCTTATTCATTCAGATTTTTTCTTTAAATTCACTTGACTTCGTCTATGCAATAAGTTTATTTACATTTAACATAATACATCTAGACATACTATGTTAGCAGTCACGGCATCTTCAAGATGATTGTTTGCAGTAATAGCCTTTGCTTACAAGCTGTTCATCTTTGTTATATATGTTTCGATGTATCGTTCATGTTTCTGTCTCGAAAAAGGGTCGGATTGCCCTAAGAATTTGACAAATTCTATTGTCTGCATTGTCGTTATTACGTCTTTGTAGATATATTACATATATTTGTATATCTCTGAGATACATCATAAGGTATTTATTCAAACCACTGTAACATAAATATAAGACTCAAAATTAAACGCAGCAGATATGGCACCGAGAAAGTTATACAGAGGTACAAACAAACTAAAACAAAGCTAACTAAAAGAAAAAAGAAAAATTCTTTGAAAATAAAATAATTCAAAGCACCGTGTGTCGTCTCTCGCACATGGCGCTGAGTGGAGGAAATGTCACTTTCTTCTTTCGCCTATATACTCTCTTGGAATAAGGTGTACTGGGGGTTTCCACCGTAGGATGTGTATTACTTTGACTATTAAACCTCTCTACATCCTTCTCTATCAATCGTACAAATTTCGTTTTACTTTGGTCGGAACACATGATGTCTGGTAGATTAATGTTTTTGACGTCCTCCTTCGATTCGGTCCGAGTAATTCCCGGAGGAAAGCTTACACTGTTTTCCACATGGTGTCTCAGTATTGAATTCGATCTGTATAGTTTTGGTTTTTTGGCGACTGGCATTGACTGATGTAATCCGTTTTCTTTTAAAATATCCAGAGGTTTGTGAACATCGGGGAGCCTTAACTGTACCTTATTCAATTCGGAATTTTGGTAACTAAACTTGACAATGTGTTTGTCCTCTTGCCTTTGTTGTCCGGTTTTGTCCCTGATGCTGTCAGTGTACGTCTTAAGGCTGTCCCCCTCCACGTCGTCGTTAAGGTATTCCAGGTTCTGCTTCTCCTCCTCCAGCCGCGTCAGTTCGTGCGTCGCCTCCAGCTTCTCTCGTGTCAGATGCTTGAGCTCCACGTGCCATAGCCTCTCTATGTGTGTCAGTTGTCTCTCCAGGCCTTTCTGTTCACGAATGTTCTTGATGGACGCCGCCACTGCGTCATTCTTTTGTCGCACACTTTTGGCAGCTACAGGGGACTCGGACATCATTGCAGACCGTGGATATTGTAGCCTGGAATAACATGTAGAAACTCGTTATTTCATTTTAACAAGTGATATGTAAAAACAAATTTCTCTCCTAAAAGTGAAAAAAGGATCATTCAAAAATGTATTTACTTATCAGAACGGTAATTCTATTCAGAGTGTATCGCCTATCCTCTGTTCTGATGAGGCTGCGTTAGGAGAGTCTAATCGTTTACCTTTTTATATCTGCATAACTACGCAATAACAGACCAACAGTCTTACTAGATAATAAGCAAGTGTAGAGTACGTTAAGTTGTCTGTTAAAAATGGTGTACAACATTGTTGTTAGACATGCCATCTGATTACTAATACCTGCCTCTGTTTTATACAATGTATACATATATAATTAATGCTTTTCCCTTAAAATACTTCTAAACAAAATAAAATCAGGAAATTCATTAAGCTTATTTGATTAAATATCCTCAATAATATTGTTAATAAAACTCAACGAAATGATGTGAATTCATGAGATTAATTTATTTTCTGAAATTGTTAGTCCTTGCTAATGAACTAATAACAGATTAAAAATATATCAAAGATATACAATACATTCTGCAGATGTCACGTACTTAATAACAACTAAGATATTTCTATATAAACCCAATAAACTAGATATTTCTTAAACAACTCACATGTATAATCAGTTATAAGTAATATGCTTTGATAGTTTTTCACGATTCCTCTATACACCAAGGAAGGTAACACGGATTACTCGTTATACCCAGGAGGGTGACACGGATTACTCTATACACCCTGGAGGGTGATACGGATTACTCTATACACACAGGAGGGTGACACGGATTACTCTATACACCCAGGAGGGTGACACGGATTATTCTATACACCCAGAAGGGTGATACGGATTACTCTATATACTCAGTAGGGTGACACGGATTACTCTATACACCCAGAAGGGTGACCCGGATTACTCTATATACTCAGTAGGGTGACACGGATTACTCTATAAACCCAGGAGGGTGACACGGATTTCTCTATATATTCAGTAGGGTGACACGGATTCCTCGATACACCCAGGAGGGGGCCACGGATTACTCTATAAACCCAGGAGGGTGACCAGGATTACTCTATACACCCTGGAGGGTGACCCGGATTACTCTATATGCCCAGTAGGGTGACACGGATTTCTCTATACACCCAGGACGGTGACACGGATTACTATATACACCCAGGAGGGTAACACGGATTACTCTATACACAGAGGAGGGTGACACGGATTACTCTATACCCCCAGGAGGGTGACACGGATTCCTCTATATAACATTGATACCTAGTGTCTATTGTAACACTTACATATAACATTGATACACAGTATATATTGTAACACTTACATATAACATTGATACACAGTGTCTATTGTAACACTTACATATAACATAGTACACAGTGTCTATTGTAACACTTACATATAACATTGATACTCAGTGTCTATTGTAACACTTACATACCTAGTATCTATTGTAACACTAACATATAACATTGATACCTAGTGTCTATGTTAACACTTACATATAACATTGATACCTAGTGTCTATTGTAACACTTACATATAACATTGATACATAGTATCTATTGTAACACTAACATATAACATTGATACATAGTATCTATTGTAACACTTACATATATCATTGATACCTATTGTCTATTGTAACACTAACATATAACATTGTTACCTAGTGTCTATTGTAACACTAACATATAACATTGATACCTAGTGTCTATTGTAACACTAACATATAACATAGATACCTAGTGTCTATTGTAACACTTACATATAACATTGATACTTAGTGTCTATTGTAACACTAACATATAACATTGATACCTAGTGTCTATGTTAACACTTACATATAACATTGATACCTAGTATCTATTATAACACTTACATATAACATAGATACCTAGTGTCTATTGTTACACTTACATATAACATTGATACCTAGTGTCTATTGTAACACTTACATACCTAGTGTCTATTGTAACACTTACATATAACATTGATACTCAGTGTCTATTGTAACACTAACATATAACATTGATACCTAGTGTCTATTGTAACACTTACATATAACATAGATACCTAGTGTCTATTGTAACACTTACATATAACATTGTTACCTAGTGTGTATTGTAACACTTACATATAACATTGATACCTAGTGTCTATTGTAACACTTACATATAACATTGATACCTAGTTTCTATTGTAACACTAACATATAACATTGGTACACAGTGTCTATTGTAACACTTACATATAACATTGATACCTAGTGTCTATTGTAACACTTACATATAACATTAGTACACAGTGTCTATTGTAACACTTACATATAACATTAATACTCAGTGTCTATTGTAACACTTACATACCTAGTGTCTATGTTAACACTTACATATAACATTGATACCAAGTATCTATTGTAAGACTAACATATAACATTGATACCTAGTGTCTATTGTAACACTAACATATAACATTGATACCTAATGTCTATGTTAACACTTACATATAACATTGTTACCTAGTGTCTATTGTAATACTAACATATAACATTGATACCTAGTGTCTATTGTAACACTAACGTATAACATTGTTACCTAGGGTCTATTGTAATACTAACATATAACATAGATTCCTAGTGTCTATTGTTATACTAACATATAACATTATTGATACCTAGTGTCTAGTGTAACACTAACATATACCATTGTTACCTAGTGTCTATTTTTACACTTACATATAACATTGATCCCTAATGTCTATGTTAACACTAACATATACCATTGTTACCTAGTGTGTATTGTAACACTTACTTATAACATTGATACTCAGTGTCTATTGTTACACTAACATATAACCTTGATACCTAGTGTCTATTGTTACTTAGTGTCTATTGTAACACTAACATATAACATTGTTACTTAGTGTCTATTGTAACACTTACATATAACATAGATACCTAGTATCTATTGTAACACTTACATAAATAAACATTGATACCTAGTGTCTATTGTTACACTTACATATAACATTGATACCTAGTGTCTATGTTAACACTTACATACCTAATGTCTATTGTAACACTAAAATATGACATTGATACTCAGTATCTATTGTTACACTAACATATAACATTGATACCTAGTGTCTGTTGTAACACTAACATATAACATTGTTACCTAGTGTCTATGGTTACACTAACATATAACATTGATACCTAGTGTCTATGGTTACACTTACATACAACATTGATACCTAGTGTCTATGGTTACACTTACATACAACATTGATACCTAGTGTCTATGGTTACACTTACATACAACATTGATACCTAGTGTCTATGGTTACACTTACATACAACATTGATACCTAGTGTCTATGGTTACACTTACATATAACATTGATACCGAGTGTGTATTGTAACACTAACATATAACATTGATACCTAGTGTCTATGGTTACACTTACATATAACATTGATACCGAGTGTCTATTGTAACACTAACATATAACATTTATAACTAGTATCTATTGTAACACTTACATATAACATTGATACCTAGTGTCTATGGTTACACTTACATACAACATTGATACCTAGTGTCTATGGTTACACTTACATACAACATTGATACCTAGTGTCTATGGTTACACTTACATACAACATTGATACCTAGTGTCTATGGTTACACTTACATATAACATTGATACCTAGTGTCTATTGTAACACTAACATATAACATTGATACCGAGTGTCTATTTTAACACTAACATATAACATTTATAACTAGTATCTATTGTAACACTTACATATAACATTGATACCTAGTGTCTATGGTTACGAATTGAACAATTTTTAACTGTATGCCCATAACTACGAGGCCCCTTAACATAACGAAATTTCACTTACCGTATGTGAAATAAGGTTGTTTAATTATGTAGTCATGTCGGTTTCCATTGCTGCTCTGCCCGTTAGTGACGTGGACTGTATCGCTCCTAATCCATTGACCATTTTATCTAAGGTCTAACACGATCACTAAACGAATTATATATCGTTTGTCGGATTATAGCTTATTCCTAATCCTAGGGCCCTGATCACCGCCCTGAACTAACAGTCGTGTTTAAAGTATCGTTTGTATGTTACAGAACACCTCCCCTATAGCATTGTATAACGCACATTACCACATCTCCAATGACATCACAACATGTGGGTAACAAATCTGATAGTCTCCGAACAATGGACCTGGCTGTACCATATTATATAGCTTAACCACGCTCTACTAGAGTAATGAATACTTCTTTAGTTAATTAACCTCACAACGGGGGCTTTAAAGTACAATTTCAGTACGCTGGATGAAATCGACTGAAATTATTCGTCTGTACTTATTATTAATATTATTGACGTATAAGCCTGTTGCCATATAATGTTACAACTACGGTCAATTTGATGGTGAAAGCAGTCCCGTGATCGACCTTATTCTGAGGCTACTATCCAATGATGAGTCAAACGTTAATGGTATTGAGTTCATATCTATTAGCTATTTGAAATCTTAAGTAAATGATCAGGTATATAGGATAAGCCGAACGTCGGCCTAACGTACATTAAATTGAAGCCAAACCTAATCTCAGATTACAATAGGGAAGGTCAGCGTCAACAGTTTTACAATAGGGAAGGTCAGCGTCAACATTATTACAATAGGGAAGGTCAGCGCGTCAACATAATTACAATAGGGGAGGTCAGCGTCAACATTATTACAATAGGGAAGGTCAGCGTCAACATTATTACAATAGGGAAGGTCAGCGTCAACATTATTACAATATATTTACATTTGGTGTAGAAGGGCTTTGCCGCACTAAAGTACTGCCAATAGCAGCTTCATGGTATGAGACTATAACAGAGGTTGGTCTTTGCACCTCCGAACGACTTAACAGTGTCACTACCGAACTTATCGGTATCTTCTGCTTTGATCCCGAACACCAGCTGCCTGTCTCAAGTGTCTGTGAGATCAACAAACATTTTTACGCCTGGATTTTTCACCAATTCAACCTTCTCCGATTGCACGATCAACATCAACAACATGCCGGACTGCAATTATAACTCTGACCTGATTACTGCGGGCTTCCGTTGAGTGCGTGCTCCAGATATAGGCCGTAATAAAATCGGAAAATGTTTTACGACACTTGATTAGTTACTTACAAAATGTTATTTGTTACTATTTTATGAATTGAGAATATGATATATATATAAATTAAAAACAAATGTATTATTGACGAAAGTTGCGGAGCCTTTTCAATTTTGTATAGGAAATAGCGCGTGACGTCAGCTGTTATCTTTGTGCCGTTCTAGATATTGACCTGACCTGACGGTAATAAGCGGGAAGTTGGAAAAGACATAAATTATTTTTTGCGAATTCGCATTACGAAAATACAAATATAAGCAATAAACTGCATAGATGTGGCAGACCAACTGGTATACGCGCGCACCATTCAGTTTGTCTGTGACATATGTGGCAGTTATAACAGTTGGTCTGCCACATCTATGCAGTTTATTGCTTAAATGGAAGGTCAGCGTCAACATTATTACAATAGGGAAGGTCAGCGTCAACATTAGTATGTTCAATACACAGTCACCGAGTTCTACTCACGGAACCCCTCCCAAGCATTCAGCCCTTGGTACATTGTACCATAATATGTCTTGGTTTGCTTTTAAGTGGCAACGTAGAGATCAACCCTGGTCCTACAGATATCAACTTTTATTATCAAAACGCCAGAAGTGTGGCAAACAAATTACAAACTATGAACTCCAACTTCTGTCCTTCAGACTTTGAGGTTATAGCTTTGACGGAGACATGGTTACATGATGGTGTTTTTAGTAGTGAATTATTGGATCCGGATCATTTTAACATTTTTAGGAACGACAGAAATTCGTCCAATTCCATGAAATCGAAAGGCGGAGGTGTGTCATTAGCTATAAATACAAAGTTTCAGTGTACCCCCGAACCGATTTACAAACTGATTGTGAGGTAGTATGGGTCGAAATATCCACAAATAAAAGTAAACTTTTTGTGGCTTCCATTTACCTTCCGCTCGACTGTCCACTTGATTAGATTAATGAATTCGAGCGATCCATCGAATTATTAATAGACAGTATTGGTGAGAAAGGTGACATTTTAATAGTAGGAGACCTTAATTTCCCCGATATCCAATAGTTACAGGACCCTACGGAACCCCAGTTGGTGCCCCAATGTGTAAACGATAACGCCAGGTATACATCGATACTGAACGCCGTTAGTGAACATGATTTACACCAAAATGTATCGAGTTCGACCAGGCGTGACAAAATACTCGACTGGGTCCTGGGCTTTCTGGACACGGTAGCAGTCTCGGTGTGTGACCCGATTTTGGAATCCGACCATCTAGCCATCTCGGGGAACCTCACCATATCCGATGCGGCGCGTTATACAAAATGTAGCAATATGGACCGTACAGCTTTGAACTATAAACGTGCAGACTTTATATCCATGAAATATATTTTCTAAAACACTGACTGGTCTTTTATTTTAAATTCTGAAACAATTAATGATGCGTTTTACCAACTACATGATGTACTCACTACAACTATCAAGAGATGTGTCCCCATGATTAAATTAAGAAAACGATGTTTTCCAACATGGTATGACAATGACCTTATAGCAATGGTTAAAGAGAAAGAACGTGCGTACAAAGTCTATGTCAAGGCCGGTAAACGACGTGATTCTCCTGAGTATGCTACTTTTTCTTCTCCACGGCAGGAGTTCAAATTACTCCAAACATCTAAATACTATGATTATATCACCAATGTTGAACATTCTGTAAAAGACAATCCCATACGTTTTTGAGGATTTGTTAAAGGAGAGCGGAAGGTGGGGACAGTCCCGGACTCTGTAATTCAGACTGTTTATAGTCGTCTTCCAACAATGTTGAATCTGCAAATATGTTTAACGCTTTCTTCAATAGAGTGTTCTTTATGGACGACGATTGTGATCTTCCTCAAATATATGTAAAAACTGAAATTGACTGCCCGCTAAGCACAATTGTTTTGAATTGTACTGATGTTCAGAAGACACTTACACAAATAAATGTAAAAACAGCTTGTGGCTACGACAACATATCTGGCGTAGTTTTTAAAGAGTGTGCTGACGAGTTATGTTTACCACTGTGTAACATTTTCAACCGTTCATTGAACGATGGTATCTTTCCAAGTATTTTTAAAAGGGCTAATGTTATTCCCATTTTTAAATCTGGTAAACGTAATGAAGTCTCTAATTACAGACCAGTATCTTTACTACCAATTATATCTAAAGTTTTCGAAAAACTGGTTGACGTTCATTTTTCTAATTTTATAAATCCGCTTATCTGCGATGAGCAACATGGTTTTATGCCAAAAAGGTCCCACTGTTTCAAACCTTGCATGTTTCAACCGATCAGATTTCCAAAGCCTTTGATAAAAAAGTAGAATTACATGCTGTATATACTGATTTTTCAAAGGCATTTGACCACAGATTATTATTGCATAAGTTAAAATTGTATGGTATAGAAGGTAGCATTTTAGATTGGTTTACTACTTATTTGAAAGACAGATTCCAGCGTGTTACTGTCAATGGGGCAACATCCGGTTGGTGTGATGTACCTTCCGGTGTGCCTCAAGGTTCGATACTTGGACCTAAACTTTTCCTTATTTTTATCAATGAACTGCCATTTATTCTGAAATTTTTTAAATCTCTTATGTTTGCCGACGACAGCAAAATTTTTGTGTGTGTAAGAACGTTGTCTGAGTGTGAGCAGCTACAGAGCGATATAGAAAGAGTGTATGATTGGTGCACTGTGTGGAGAATAAAAGTGAATGTAAGAAGTGCTGCCAGGTCATTTTTACAAACAAGAGGAAATGTATGAATTTTAATTACACTATGAACGGTGACAACCTGAAGAATCAATGGTTTGTGAAAGATCTTGGTGTTTGGCTGACCTCTTCAATGAGTTTTAGTACCCACGTTAGACGTACTGTTTCCAAATCAATGCGAATGCTCGGTTTTATAAAACGTACATGTACAAGTTTTAAACAAATACCTGTTTTAAGGTCTCTATATATAAGTCTTGTCAGGAGTCAGTTAGAATACTGTTGTCAGATCTGGTCTCCTTACCAAACATCTTTAATTCAACAGGTCGAAGTTGTCCAGCGTAAATTTTTGAAATTTTTATGTTTTAAGGCACACGTTGACTACAATTCCAGGTCTTACGCTGACACTTGTAGGCATTTTAATCTTCCTAGCTTCGAACATAGGCGGGCATTTTTAGACTGTGTATTTCTTTACAAAGTGTTAATAGTGCTTTTGATTGTCCATATTTAGTCAAGCAAATGTGTTTTTTAGTCCCTGGTCGTAATCTACGATCAATTCGTTTTAACCAGTTTTACTGCCAGAGAAGTAGAATACACGCTAGAAAGTATAGTATTTTAAACAGGATTCATTGTAGTTTTAACTATCTTGATTTTGCAACAGACTGTGATATGTTTTGTTCCTCTCTCGCCGAGGTAAAAGTACGGTTAAAGAATATTTGCTATCACTTATTCCTTTTGTTTTACATATGAGTATCTTTTAGTCTGTGCTACATGCATAACTGACTGTGATATTTTATACTTGTGTTGTAATGTTGTTATCCATTCTGTTAGTGGACCCTTGGGTCTGTTGAATTGGAAATAAATAAATAAAATAAACAAATAAATAAATTACAATAGGGAAGGTCAGCGTCAACATTATTACAATAGGGAAGGTCAGGGTCAACATTATTACAATATGGAAGATCAGCATCAATTTTATTACAATAGGAAAGGTCAGGGTCAACATTATTACAATAGGGAAGGGCAGCGTCAACATTATTACAATAGGAAAGGACAGGGCCAACATTATTACAATAGGGAAGGGCAGCGTCAACATTATTACAATAGGAAAGGACAGGGTCAACATTATTACAATAGGGAATGGCACCGTCAACATTATTACAATATGAAAGGTCAACGTCAACATTATTACAATAGGGAAGGTCAGCGTCAACATGATTCTACTCTTGTGTCTCACGTTAACAAACAACTGTTTATTTGTTTCCGTGATTGTACCAGAATGAACTGTCCAATGTTATGGGCAGATTACAGA